CCCAGCTAATGTTTTGTATTTTTAGTAGAGACGGGGTTTCACCATGCTGACCAGGATGGTCTCGATCTCTTGACCTCGTGATCCACCCGCCTCGGCCTCCCAAAGTGCTGGGATTATAGGCTTGAGCCACCGCGCCCAGCCCAGGTGTAGGACTTATGAATTTATGTTCTGGTGATTAACATCCTTCAGGGAATGTTGTTGGTAAAATGTTGTTAGTTGAGTGCTTTGGAGAAATGTGTATTATCGTATGTATTTCTCAATGCCAGCGTTCCCTGGAACACTGACTGCGTGTGATGTCGGTGTTTCGTGAAGACCAGTTCATTGGCTCTGTAAGGTTGGGAAACACAGCCTCTCGAAGTTTGACGTGGACTATAAGGATGTTAAAGGCTCACGGAAGGCTTGTCTTAGAGAATAGTGTTTAGGTGTCCAAACTGTTGTTTCTCATTCCTGTTTTACCATGGAAACCTCTACAGGCAGTACCTGTAGCACATGGGTGTTCTGAAGGACTGCTTTGAAGAATGCAGGATAATAAAGATGCAGCTGTTATTGAATGCTCTTGTCGTGGTTTTAGCTTTAAGCCCTGGACATTTGTCTGCCTGGTTTTGCTGGACACAGAGGCTGGAGCTTGGCTACCAGGTGCCTGGGTTAAGCTAAAGTTGGGGGTCTCTCTTCCCATGCACTTAAATACAGAGCCTCTTGCTGAAGCATGGCCCTCACTCTGCAGAAGGAATTGCTGCCCTATGGCACTCATTTGCACAGTCCCTGACCAAATGGGGTCCATGTCTATCTCACTAGCCCCTTCCCTTCGGTTCCCCTTGTGTCCACTGCTCCCCAGCCACTCTGGCTGCCATTCCTTCTCTGGTGTCAGGGCCTTTGTTCTCCTCTTCTCTCTGCTCCTCTGCTTCTGGCATTCCTGCATTCTCAGCAGGAGGACCCCCACCCCCTCCTCTCTCAGCCAAAGCTGGTTCCTGTCTTCCTCTTACAACACCGTAATTGTAGCTACATACAGCAGGCATCTTTGTGTTTACCTTTTTTCCCTGTCAGACCACGGACTGCACAAGGACAGGGACATAAGGACAGGGATAATGTCAGCCCTTCATGTCTGTACCATGACACCCAGTGTGGAAGCCAACACATCCAAACCCTCAGTGAACGGCTGGGAAGCAAGTTAACGGAAGTAACGAAGTAAATTGGCAGGGCCTAGTATTGGAACCGCAGGAGTCAGGACATTGCCTTTTGTGTCACAGCAAGGACAGCCTTGTTATTCTGAAACATGAACAAATGCCAGTTACTCTCATTGCTAGTTAGACGGTTGCGCCGTTTTAGTAATGTAAACCCTGCAGTTCTCACACTAAACACGATAGAAATTAATGATTACATATAAGTTTCCACCAGAGAGCAATACGTTGGAATTGAAATGCACCTGTTGTGAAGAAGTTGTGTCTCAGAATGTATTTTTCCAACAGCAACATCTGCGCAAGTGGATGGAAGTGGTGGTCATCACCCACAAAGGGGGCCAGAGGAGCGACGGAAACGTGAGTGACTTGTTTGTTTCTGGGAAGGGCACCAGCCACCATGCTGGGTCAGTGCTAAAGCCGGGACAGTGCTTTCAGTGAAATGCCGGTCAGAAATCTAGTTTGACGTGATTCTAGTCCTTATAAATTGTTAAACACATTTGATTAGTGTTCTGTTTTGCCTTTCTTTCTCTTAATTGCTAAGCATTCCTTTTTTATGTTTCTTTAAAATCTCCCCTTTGGTTCACTTTAATACGACTTTTCTGTTGAGAATTCTGGGGGGCTTGAATGTCAGTATTTCAATTTTACTAGCTCTGCTTTAAACAGTGTATTTTCTAGCCTGTCCTTGGCAGCTGCTGTTTACATGGTGGTGCGTTCCTCAGCTATTGTTTCCATTGCTTTCCATCAAGGGGGTCAGTAAATGTGTTTAATCATTATTGCCTGATAAAACCACTTAGAGATTTTTTTAGGACCTAAAGCCTTAACGGGAATGTAAGAAGGTATCCCATAAACACTGGCATGTGTGTGTTCAAGGTCTGAATCATCCACCCCAATTGTTTGCCCAGTCATTTGACTAGCCCTTCAAAGTACATTTGTATGGTTTTAAAGGAAAACCGCTTTAGGTAAATCTTTTAAAGTGTCCGATGTGGGTCATTAAAGACTTTGTCTCTTAAGAATGCATGCTTTCTGCTGTTTTAAATCTAATATTATTTGTATATGTTTATTTTTACAGTTTTTGTTTTTAACTTGATGTCATCGCAGTGCAATTGCCTTTTCCATGCGTTTCCTAACACCTAGTGAAACTTTACAGCAGCATTCCTGCTAGGGACTTCCTCATAGTTCCTCAGAGGCATAATTAACGTGGCTTTTTGTCCTCGTGTGCCTTTGCTGGATGTGTTCCATCCCAATTTGGATTTTTTTTTTTCTGGCTTTATTATGCTTTGTTTTGACCATTGTGTGTCAAGGTGTTTTGTTTATGTAAGTCTTGTTTCCTACTGCTTCTAAACAGCCAAGTAAGCAAAACTAAGCCAGGATTTTAAACTTTTTAAAGAAGTAACATGCTACGCATGACCCTTTGGAAGGTTCGCTATTTATATATGCAGAAAAGACTCAGGAACTCTTCATGGAGAAGAGCAGAATATGTTAATGAGCCGAGGCTCCTGGAATGAGGAGCAGGTATCTCTGTGCTTCTCTCCCTCTCTCATCGGTTAGGTACTTCTGCTTTAAATTTTAAATTTTAAATTTTAAATTTGTTTTTATAGTAAGCTGTTAATTTTCTGAAACTCAGTTCTAGAATAAACATTTTAAAAACCTAGTGGGTAGATGAACAACTTCAGTTGAATAAAAAAGATTTTATATAAAGTCCTTAACATGGCCTAGTAAAAAAAAAAAAATAAGCAAAAGACTTCATGAAAATTTACAGCAGATGATTTGGAGATGGGGGCGCAGTTGTATAGGGGATAGAGTCGTGGGTACTGGGAAGTCCTTGAGCTCTTCCTTGAACGTTTTTATCATCCTGCAATTGTATTACTTGAACATCCGGGGAGGGTCCAGCTCTGTAAGGTTGTCTGCGTGTCTAAAACTCAGAGACCTTGGTGTTTTGGGGCCCAGAGACGGCCTACATGGCCATGGTTTAATCACTTAAACCTAGGGCCAGGCCGCATATTTTATGGATGTTACATAGGATGGGAAACAGATCTTGGAAAGTAACTTGTTCCTGTTTGGCAGAATCCCCAAAAGACATTGCTCCATTGAGACACTATAATTGAATATATGCTAGATAGTTAACTAAAGAAATAAAGAAATAAATAAAAGCTGCCCTGGAGCTTTGGGGGTTTTTTTTGTTTTTTTTTTTTTTTTGAGAAGTAAAATATAAAAAAGTTTACTCAAATTTTTTATAGTCAAATTGTTTTTAGCCTTCTCTCTCTCTCTCTTTCTCTCTTTTTGAGATGGAGTCTCTGTCACCCAGGCTGAAGTGCGTGGCACAATCTCAGGTCACTGCAATCTCTGCCTCTCGGGTTCAAGCGTCTGCTGTCTCAGTCTTCCAGGTAACTGGGAATTACAGGCACTTGCCACCACACCTGGCTAATTTTTGTATTTTTAGTACAAAAATTACTGAAGTTTCACTATGTTTGGCCAGGCTGGTCTTGAACTCCTGACCTCAGGTGATCCACCTGCCTTGACCTCCCTAAGTGCTGAGATTATTGGTGTGAGTGACTGTGCCCAGCCTGCCCTGGAGCTTTGGATAGCCCTGTGATCAGAGCTCTGCCCCATCACTGTGTTTAGGAAGCTTCCCTTTTTAACTGTGAGCTTATAGGAGAGAACGCATGACCGCATTTTATGCCTGTTCTCTGCGTGTGCACATATACACACGTGCATGCACACCATCACACACAGCTAGTTTTAGGAAGACCGTGCTTCACATTACACGATAACTCAGTGTCCATTGGATGTTGTCATGGCCCAAACCACCTGGACCGCTTCTGACTGTAGCTGCAAAGAGGTTTTTGTTATTTTTTAATATCTTAGCTCTTCATATAACATTTGAATTATTCACTTACGAAAGACTGTTTAAAATGTGCTTGCATACAACAAGGTCTTCTAGTTTCTCCCCTTTCACAAGAATCCTGAAGCCCTATTATGTAAACGTGCTGTAGGAAAGAAGTCCACTGTTAGACACTCTGTATCAGAAGGGCTGTGTTTTGACATCGAAGGTGAAGTTGTGCTTTTTGCTGTTGAGCATTTGTTAATTACTGTGTGCTTTCTGATAATTTGTGTCTTTACTGTCTTGTTAACCCCAATAACCCTTATTGTGTTTGAGTATATGGGAAGTTTTTATGTAAATAACATAAATAGAAAAAAGATGATTTTCCTCCCCATCCTCAGGAAAGCATTTCCGAGTGCGGGAGATGTCCCTTGTCTCCATTCTGTCAGTTTGAGGTGAGAACAACCTATTAACAGTCAGTTTGTGACTTGAAATGTGAAGAACAGTTTACCTTTTCTTTTCTTTTCTTTTTTCTTTTCTTTTCTTTTTACCTTTCTGTTGCCTTTTTTCATGCTGTAATTTTTGTTTTGGTTCAGCCTGCCATGGAAGGGGTAGAGGTGAGAACTTGAGTGGAGTTGCAGGAGGGGGTCGTTGTCGTTGCTGGTTTTGCTGTGACTCGTTAGCTGTGCCGTGGTTCTGTACTGGACAGAGTGCGTTGTGCCCTTGAGTGCAGTGACCTGTATTGTCTGTCTGTGGCAGAGTTGTATCAGTATCATTGCTGTGAACTGTCTGATGCCAAGCATGTTTTCTGTTAGGACGTTTTAAGCAAGACTCATAAGTTCGTGTGAGAATTGCAATGTCTGAATTATATTTAAGACTAAATTAGATTTTGCGTTCCTAACCTCCATCTGAACACACATAGCTAGCAACCTCCTGAGAGGAAACTCACACAGAGTATATTACATCTGCTAGACGTGGGAAGAATTACAGTTTCTCTTACACTACTGACTGCCCTGAATTTAAAACCTTACAGCTCGCTCACCCTACTCACCCACCCAGTCCCCTTCATCTCTCTTGCACACTCACCGCACACACACCACACACATTGGTGCACTCACAACATTGTGCAGTGTTGCACACACCCCGAGCTTTCCCCCTCGTGTAAAACGGGGATAATGGCATCTGTCATTCCTGCCTCCCACCGGTGTTTCGAAGACCCAAAGAAGTGGTTTCTGTGACAGCGCTTTGAAAGTGAGAACACAGAGTATAAAAGCGCCATTTTAGAACATTATAATTTCAGGATGGAACTTACTCTATCCTAAGTCTTGCAAATTCTGTGGAAGAGAATTCTGGGGCCCATTTTCCTCATTTCACACCCATTTTCTGCTTTGCCTTTTGGTGTAAAGAAAAATTCTGAGAAGTCTCTCAGGTGCTGCTGAGAGTGAGGCCCTTCCTGACGGGTGCGGTCATCCCCATCTTACCCGAGGATCACAGCGCAGCACAGCACATTGGAATACGTCCTTCCCTTGTGGCCATGTAGAATGCCTTTGAATGACAGGAGCAAAACTGGAAACTGAGGAGGGAGAGCTGGAACAACAGCAGGCCACCTCCTACTAAATACTTAGTACCAGAATTAGTTGTTTATATTTGTTAATATTTAGTTTCCAGGGTAAATACTTATGTGTTTTTTGAAGAACTTTCTCTGCTAGGGTTTTGTTTTTTGCTTTTTTGTTTTTGAGTCAGGGTCTCACTCTATCGCCCAGGTTGGAGTGCAGTGGCACGATCTCAGGTTATTGCAACCTCTGCCTCCCAGAGTGATTCAAGTGATTCTCCTGCCTCAGCCTCCAGAGTAGCTGGAACTATAGGTATACACCACCCTGCCTGGCTAATTTTTGTATTTTTAGTACAGATGAGGTTTCGCTATGTTGGCCAGGCTGGTCTTGAACTCCTGACATCAGGTGATCCACCAGCCTTAGCCTCCCAAAGTGCTGAAATTACAGGTGTAAGCCACCACACTGGCCTTTGCTAGCTTTTGAGGGCAAAAGACATATGTGCCCTTAGAACTTAGCATATGTAATGAGAAGACCTCGTATTACCATGGCAAAGTAGGGCATCCCCATGCTGTCCTGGCCCAAAGTGGAATCATCCCCGCTTCCGTGAGGGGGACTAGCATGGCAGCCCTGTAAGGCCACCTCTGCCACTTGTCAGCATGCATGACAGCAAACAGCACGATCACATCAGGTGTACACATTTGGCCCCCCCACACCCCCTCACAATTGACAGGAATGCCGCAGGCCACGGGCAGTCAGTTTCCTTAGGACACAGCACAGTTAGAACCTAAGGCTGGTAAGTTGTGGCTTTTACATGTTAACCCTTCGCTTCACTGCCTAGCCTTGCCAACATAGTTAGATTGTGGTAGGGTCTGTAGTGACGTTGACCTCTGTCACTCACAAAAGTAATTGACCTATTTATAATTTCTGGTTTTCTTGATCAGGAAATGAAGATTTGTTCAGCAATTATAAACCTTTTTCATCTGATCCCGGCGGCTCCTCAGACTCTGGTGAAGCCTTTGCTAGAGGTTGTCATGAAAACGGAGCGGGCGATGCTGATCGAGGTAAGGGCCACGCTGAAGGCTGCTTCTCACTCTGTCACCCTCCAGTGCTTGTGGCATCCTCACTTGGTTGTATTTTAAATGGACAGATGGAGCAGCATAAAGGCATTGGATATCCACATTTGCTTGTGAGTGTTCGTGTGCTGTAGTAACAAGGGACCGAGTTAGGTAGACAGAGCCTCAAGCTCTGAGGAGAGGAAGATGTGAGGTACAGTCTTCCCACATGTTTTGTAGGCAGGCAGTCCATTCCGAGAGCCCCTGATCAAGTTCCTGACTCGGCACCCCTCGCAGACAGTGGAGCTGTTCATGATGGAAGCCACACTGAACGATCCCCAGTGGAGCAGAATGTTTATGGTAAGAGCTGCGAGAGGCTGGAGTCAGGGGTCCCTGCAAGTGCGTGTGAGCCATTGTGCTCTGAAATGTTCAGTTCCTATTTCATTGTTGAGTGTCCTGCCGCTTTTTTCTCACATATATTTGAATATGGGGAACATCATCGCTGCTTGGTTGTGTCTATGAAACACACAGGCCTAGGAACCACTCTTTGTAGGACTTTGGTGGTGGGAGCAAATAAATGCTCTGCCAGAATTATAAAATCACAAAGTATGATTACTGTTTAAAAGTATTTTTAAACGCCCACACCTGTAATCCCAGCACTTCAGGAAACTGAGGCAGGTGGATTACTTGAGCCTAGGAGTTCGAGACCAGCCTGGGCAACAGAGTGAGACCTTGTCTGTACAAAAAATATGAAAATTAGCCAGGCATGGTGGCGCATGCCTGTAGTCCCAGCTACTCAGAAGGCTGAAGTGGGAGGATTGCATGAGCCCAAGAGTTGGGGGCTGCAGTGAGCTGTGATTTTACCACTGCATTTCAGCCTGGGCAACTGAGCGAAGACTCTGACTCTTTTTAAAAAGAAAAAAAAAACATCTTTTTAAAAGCATGCGTATGGTGCTTTTTTGGTAAGCCTTCCTCTAGAGATTTAGTAAGATTTTTAAAAGATTTAAAAAGGTTTGAAATTCATATCCTCTAATTTTCTATGAGTTTGGTTAGCTTAAAACAGCCTTTCTATTTGTTTTGCTTTCAGAGTTTTTTAAAACACAAAGACGCCAGACCTCTGAGGGATGTGCTGGCCGCCAACCCCAACAGGTTCATCACCCTGCTTCTGCCGGGGGGTGCCCAGACGGCCGTGCGCCCCGGCTCACCCAGCACCAGCACCATGCGCCTGGACCTCCAGTTCCAGGCCATCAAGGTAGCGCCCCTTATTCTGGCCCCCCATTGCCCAGGGGTTTAATGGAGACATGGTTCCCTAATTGTCTCTTCTTTGACAGATCATAAGCATTATAGTGAAAAACGATGACTCCTGGCTGGCCAGCCAGCACTCTCTGGTGAGCCAGTTGCGACGTGTATGGGTGAGTGAGACCTTCCAGGAGAGGCACCACAAGGAGAACATGGCAGCCACCAACTGGAAGGAGCCCAAGCTGCTGGCCTACTGCCTGCTGAACTACTGCAAGTGGGTGCCGCCTCCCGCCCTACCCCGAGGGACTGCCTCTGTCCTGAAAGCTCAGCTGGAGCCTCCTTCTAGTCTGTACAAAGCTGTGGTCATTGTACAGGAGAATGGGTTATGTCTCTGAGCTGCTTAAAGGCAAGTCAGAGGCATAGTTGTTAATGAACTTTGCTGTAAGTTAACCTGTCTTTTTCTTTTGACCCTCCAGAAGGAATTATGGAGATATAGAATTGCTATTCCAGCTGCTTCGAGCCTTTACTGGTCGTTTTCTCTGCAACATGACATTCTTAAAAGAGTATATGGAGGAAGAGATTCCCAAAAATTACAGCATCACTCAGAAACGTGCCCTATTTTTTCGCTTTGTAGACTTAAATGACCCTAACTTTGGAGATGAATTAAAAGCTAAAGTGAGTCCCACTCTTATGCTGTAGAAGGCTATGGGTTTTTGGTCTGGTTTTCTAGGGAACCTTGGGCCCTTTTCTTCTTCTACTGCGTCTCCGTTAACTAAATAGTAGAGTGACTCAGGTGTTGTGGCACATGCCTATAATCCCAGCTACTCGGGACCACGGTGGGAGGATTGCCTGAACTCAGGAGTTAGAGGCTGCACTGAGCTATAATCACGCCACTGCATTCCAGCATGGGTGACACAATGAGACCCTGTCTCTTAAGGAGAAAAAAAAAATTAGTAGGCTGGGCTGTAGGTGAGAAAATGCCATTGCTGAGGAATGTCAGGTCCATGCAGCAGTGACCCAGTGTTGAAGAGTAGTTTGTTAATTTCCTTGTTTTTAGAAAATGGCTTGTTTGATATGAGAAGAATAAACCAGCTTGACATCTCTTTTCCACAGTTTTTAACCTACCTTTCTAGTTGCTCTTTGCATAGAAGTCAAGTTTAGTAGTCACACCCTGGTTGAGTTCTAACTTGTTGGTGTGGTATGGCTGTTCTTCCTGTCTTACTAAAGAAACAAACAGCGTGGCTTTGTTTTTCTCCTTATTTATTTTAATTTTTTTTTTTTTTTTTTTTTTTTTTTTTTTTTTTTTTTTTTGTAGGTTCTGCAGCATATATTGAATCCTGCTTTCTTGTACAGCTTTGAGAAGGGGGAAGGAGAGCAGCTATTGGGACCTCCCAATCCAGAAGGAGATAACCCAGAAAGCATTACCAGTGTGTTTATTACCAAGGTGGTATAACTATGTCATGGGCATGAGAAGTAACCGGTCAGATGAAGGAATGTCTGTTTGTGTGTTAAGTTTGCTTCCCTGCGTTTATTTTTCGTGATTGTGTTAATTTATAGCAGACCATCACATTACAATTCTTAGTGAGTTTTAGAAGGCCGCCTTACTTTGGAATGAATTAACTTTCCCACATTAATAGATTCTAATAAAAAATGAAATGTATCTTGATGAAAATTCATGTAGCAGTTATTTTGTGAAAACCCTTGTTGCCGGTCAGCAGAATTTCCGTGTTCTATTTTCATCTCCAGTTTTGCAAAAGAATCTCCTAATAGCCAGTGAGCCTATGAGACTGTCTGCAGTTCCTGCTGCAACTTCTTCTTGCCAAGTTATGAAACCCTGTGGCAGCCGTAGTCCAGTCTGAAATGGGCTCGGGTTTTAACACCTCTGTACGTTTTTAGAATGGCTTTACAGTTTGTATTAGAAAGGGTTTTTTGAATTAAATGCCTGCGTTCAGTTACTTTCCCAATACTCACTATATTGATCCTCACTGTTAAAGGCAGTGTTTGCCTTGAGATTCTTGCATTGAGTGTGTGTTGGAATGCTTAGTGAATATTTTCCTAATCAGAAATACAGATGGCCGGTTTTCTTATCCATTTTGTCCTGGGGTCAAGGAAGAGGGGACTGTTGTTTCCATTGGCAGATTCCCAGACCTTACATAGTCTTTATCCTTTCAGACAGGCCTCCTTCCTGCAGTGTTGACATCCCACCCTGGGATCAGAGCAAGCCCAGGGGTTTATTCTTGGTCCCCTTACTGTTATTTGCTTTGTTCTGGGCAAGTGTAGGGAGATGGGGTCCAAAAGGACCCCTTCTCCTTTGTCATCTTCTCCAGGCTGTGCCTCCTTGGTCAGATGCTGCTGCTAGGGGACTTTGAATGTCGGGATGAGGAGAAAAGGAGCTGGTAGACTGGAGGCTGGGGATGCAGGTGTGGGGCTGCCAAGAAGCAGTACATCCTTGATGAAAACATGATTATCATGGAAGATGTCAGTCTTTCTGTTTTTCAGTATTATTAAGGCCTAGTAGACAGACAGTGGTTAGGACACTTAGTTGAATTGAATGATGCCGCCATTATACTTGATTTAGTAGAGACGTGTAGAATATCCCTCAAAGAAGGTACACCTTTTCTTATGTCCATGAAACATCTGTCAGATGCTTTCAAAACTGTAACAATTTTTTGGAAGTTGACATTTTTCCAGGTCACATTTTCTAATCATACAGCAGAAAAATAAGGAACAGACAAAAGTTGACCAGGAAAAAAAAAATTTCAATTACTTGGAAATTAAGAAACTCAGTCCTAAGTCATCTTGAATCAAAGGCTTCCTTTCCACCTCGCCTTCCTCCAGCCCTGTGTCCTGACTCTTAAGCCTCACCATTTTTAAATGTTGAAATGAATGTGGTGAATTTCTAATCGATATGTAAACCAAAAAGTTTCTGAGATGGATCTCAATCAGTTTAGAAATTTATTTTGCCAAAGTTAAGGGTGTGTCTGGGAGAGAGGTTTGTGTCCTACATTAAAGATGGTTTTGAGGGCTTCAGTATTTGAAGGGGAAAATTGGGCTGAAAGAGAAAGAGGGAGGGTGTGGTCATCCACACATTGCAAAAAAAGGGGAGCAGGTAGGGGAACAGGCAGTTCTGTGTTCGTCTCATGCTTAGGAAGTCAGGACTTTACGGAAGATACAGTGAACATGGAGCCGATACCTGTGGAGATCGTTAACCTTTTATCTCTAGCTCTGCTTAGGAACAGAAGCAGAGCCAGTTTCTTGCATGACTCAACTTTCAGCTTATTTTTTTCCATTGGGCAGAGTGAATTGGGATCCTAAGGTTTTTTTCTCCTTTCACATATATATGAAGGAAGACGGATAGGATGTTATTGATAACCTCATTGTAATACTTCGTGTTACATACTCTGTGTGTGTGTGTGTGTGTGTGTGTGTGTGTGTGTGTGTGTGTATTTTTAAGGCTTAAACCTGTTGGATGACCCTCAGTGTGTGTGTGTGTGTGTGTAAGACTTACACATGTTGTATGACCCTCAGTCAGTAACACAGTTCACAGCTGGAAATGAGTCCTTCCCACTGTCCCCGTGCAGGTCCTGGACCCCGAGAAGCAGGCGGACATGCTGGACTCTCTGCGGATCTACCTGCTGCAGTATGCCACGCTGCTGGTGGAGCACGCCCCGCACCACATCCACGACAATAACAAGAACCGCAACAGCAAGCTTCGCCGCCTTATGACCTTCGCCTGGCCCTGCCTACTCTCCAAGGCCTGTGTGGACCCGGCCTGCAAGTACAGTGGACACTTGCTCCTCGCACACATTATCGCCAAATTCGCCATACACAAGAAGATCGTCCTGCAGGTATTTTGCAAGGCCCCTCCTGTCCTCCATGTGGATCCCATGTGGTGCGCTTGACTCCCTGGCGCAATGTCAGCCTCCCCTGCTGTCTTTTCCCAATATCAGTAAAAACCATGAAAACACAGACACTATTTGATTGATTCTACTTAGAAGACCCTAGGGCACTCAAATTCAGAGAGACAAAAAGAGACTGCAGGGGGGCCGGGCCAGGGAGAGGGGATGGGGAGCAAGTGTTGACCTGGTGCAGTTTCAGCCTGGGAAGAGGCATGCATTCTGCAGGTGATGGGGCTCGTGGCTGCACACCCCATGAAGGTGCCTGGCGCCACTGGGCTGTGCACCTACAAGTGGGTATGATGGTACATTCTGTGTTTTATGTGTTTTACTACAATAACAGGAAATTTGAGGGGAAAATAACCCACACTGTGACTATCCATGCTCTCCTTCCTCCCTCGTTCCGACTCTGCCCTCATTCCTCGACAGCTTTGCTTTTTAAGGGAAATGTCACTCTTTTCCATTTCAGGTTTCTCTGGCAATTGCATTCTGGCCTCCAACTCTGACATTCCATGGCAAATATTATAAATATTCAAGGGCCTCAGCCCAATTCTCTTAGCTAAAGACGACAGTAGGTACTTTCGGATCTGTATCTCATGAGCCTGCTGCTGTGCAGCTAGTATTGAGAGCCTCTTCATGGTGTCCCTCGGTGGTTTGGGCTCTGAGGTTGGGCACCCCAGGTTTCAGTGGTCCTTCCTCTGCTCACACGGGCTGTGCCCTTGGGCAAGTTAATGTCTCTGTGTGAGAATTAAATGTAATACTACATTCAAGTGCTCAGCATTTGATCACTGATAGTTCCTATCTTCTGTGAGACCATCTTTGATGGCTTTCCCCTAATGTCTTTCTCCTATAAACCTTTGTGTTGTTGAACTCTGGACCCCAATCAAGCCAGGGGCCTCTCACATCCCCTGTCACGGACCCTTGAGCTAGAACTCCAGCCTTGGGACTTCACTGCTGTCCCGCAGTTTCAAACACCCAGGGACTCTTGACCTTCTCTCCTCCTCCCCAGTGCCCACGCACCAGGAGGTTCTGCAGCTTCTAACACCCACCCTGTTCCAGCCCAGGACTGCTCTTTCTGTGTTCTGTGACCTCACCTCTCACTTGAACGACTGCAACTGCTGCCTCTCAGTGCCTCTCCTGCTGGCCCTGTTCACTTTATTTCCCACCCGCAGCCAGAGGGAGATGAGTCGTGTACCTCCCTGACTCGCTGCTGGTTAGGCGGGACACAGGATCCCTGCAGAGAGCTAGGTCTTATCTGTCTGCGTGCCCCAGCCTAGTTCCACACAGGCACATAGCAGGTGCTTTGTAAATACTAGAATGGATGTATTCATTGGTTAAAACTAAACAAAACAGAAAGCAACTAAGTTGTTTCCTAATTAGAAAGTCCTAAGAAATGTTTAAAAAATTGTTTTGGGAAAATACCATGCCTTGATCCCAATGGATTATTTGTGTCTTCCTGTTTTTTAAAGCCTTCCTTCTCATCCTCCGTAAGTGTTTCTTCCCTGTTTTAGGTTTTCCATAGTCTCCTCAAGGCTCATGCAATGGAAGCTCGAGCGATCGTCAGACAGGCAATGGCCATTCTGACCCCAGCAGTGCCAGCCAGGATGGAGGACGGGCACCAGATGCTAACCCACTGGACACGGAAGATCATCGTGGAGGAGGGGCACACCGTCCCACAGCTGGTGCACATTCTGCACCTGATAGTGCAGCACTTCAAGGTGTGTGGGAGGGATGGTGGACTGTGGGCGTATGTCTTCAGGCACTCGCTTTGACCCTTGACCTCCTCTTGTTCTGCAGTAATAGGGTGGTCATCTTTTAGTAAGGCGGCTCTGGTTCATTGGTTAGTTTCTATAAGTGTGTATGGCTCTATCAGCATGGAAATTGCCGTAATATAGAGAATATGTGCCAGGTTTGTGCGTCTTTGTGTCTAAAGCTGCATTTCTGTCCTAAGTACTGTGCTTAGTTAACCCTTGTTTGCTACCAAATTTGTACCTTAAGGTGAGAGAGATAGTCCTCATTGACTCTAGATTTCCGTAACCAGGCTTGGAAAGTTAATTCATGTTGCTGGCACCTCCTTCTCTATGGCAAAATCACCCCCTTTGTGGGATTTGTTTGTATGTAAATGTTTCTTGTAAATTTAGGGTAGAGGAGAAAGGATTGTGTTGAAAGCAAATTCTTTTATAGCCAACTCTTAGAATTGGAACTTTGCTTTTTGTATGTCTTAAACTTTTACAATGTCAAGTCTAAAGTTTGATACATGTGATGAGACTCACCTTCCTGTCTGAAAAGAATTCAGTTTTTAAAGACTGAAGTATACTATTATAATGGGATTTAGTTGGGGTGGGGGAGGGTAATAAACACACATACATAAGGCAGGGAGAATTTCCTCAGTAAGGTTGGGATTCAGAATTCTTAAGCTTCAGATTGGTCTGTGTGTGTATGTTGGAGCTGAGGCATGTCAGGGTTGTGTGCGTGTGCGCGCTCTGGGACCAAGGTCCCGTGTTCGTGGCGTGATGCCGGCCCTGCGCCCACAGGTGTACTACCCGGTACGGCACCACCTGGTGCAGCACATGGTGAGCGCCATGCAGAGGCTTGGCTTCACACCCAGTGTCACCATTGAGCAGAGGCGGCTGGCCGTGGACCTGTCTGAAGTTGTCATCAAGTGGGAGCTGCAGAGGATCAAGGACCAGCAGGTAGGGGTTTCAGCATCAGGGTTCCCCAGTCGCCTTTCTTTGACCTTTCCCTAGAAGTCAGTCAGTAAAGCCAAGCGCCTGTGTGTTTTTAAGCCGGATTCAGACATGGACCCAAATTCCAGTGGAGAAGGAGTCAATTCTGTCTCATCCTCCATTAAGAGAGGCCTGTCTGTGGATTCTGCCCAGGAAGTGAAACGCTTCAGAACGGCCACCGGAGCCATCAGTGCAGTAAGATCATGGGCCTCTACGGGTGCTGTGCATCCTGCTAGGAGTTGGTTTGTTTATTCCCTACATTTAGAATGTGAGCTCGGTGCCCAGCTGTGTGCAGGAGAGGCAGCTGGCAACAGCCACGCTCACCAGATTGAAACCCAGGGACACATCAGTCCTGCAGGGGGTTCCCAGGCCACCAGACACATTTGCCTTTGCGTTCAGTTCATATCATTAGAGTTCTGTCAATGATGGTTGATTACTTGCAGAAAGACATCTACAGAAACTCTTTGAAGGAAGGAGTTGATTAAGAACATGTGCCCGTGTTGAGATCAATTTCAGAAAAAGATGTGTTCTGTTTTGCTGGGCAGCTGCCTAGAGGGTCCTGGGTATCGCCCCTTGTGGAAGGCTGGCCCTGGGAGTCCTGATCCCAATCTCAGCTGGTGTCATGGACCCGCTGGCTTGTGGACACAGGCCTGACTGCCCAACTTCCAGCTTCGTAGGCCTGAGGCTGAGCTCTTCTCGCACCCTCACCATCCCCCATCTTATGTGGCACCACGTCTGCCCTCGGCTCCTGTTAGAAACTTGGCATCGTCTGCACTTTGTCCATTGGCTTCTCCTCACACATCTGATCCAGAGCAAGTGTCACTGACCTTGCTGCAAATACCCACCCCTCCCCATCCCTGCCTCTGCACCGTGGTCTCAGCCTCCATCACCCTTCGCAGTAACCAAATGGGAGCTGCTCAGCTGCCTCCCTTTTCTTCTCTCTGTCCCTGTTCCTCTCTTTGCCTCCACTTTTATCACCCCTCGACTTTTCACATAGCAGTCAGGCTGCCACAGAAGTCTCTTTTCAGAACTTGAATCAGGGGAAGCTGGGTGAAGGGTATGTGAGACCTCCATAGTATTTTTGTAAAAATGTCTTGTGGATCTTACAATCCTCTGAATATAAAAAGTTGAATCAAGTCAAGTTACCTTTCCCCTTGCATGAGCCCTCCCCTTGACCGTGGCCTCCAGGGCCTGGGTGACCCCAGCACCGTCTCAGGGTCCTGGCTCTGTGCTCACTTAGGATGCATTCCCTGGCCTTTTCCCTCCCCTGGGAGCTATCTCTCTTCTCTCTTCTCGTGGCTGGCTTCATTTCAACCTAAAGACCTCCTTTGATGATGTCCTTTTGCTTCCTGGGCCTCGCACTTTTGTTCCCCATCACGTGAGCCACTACTTTTTGTGGCTGCTTGGCTGGCTAGCCGTCTGTCCTTCTGTTGGCTGTGTTGGCTTCACCAGGGGAGAGATGACATCTGTCTTTGGTATCCCTAGCGCCCAGACCTGCCTCTGTCCCTGGGAGGTACCGCATACCCGATAGCTGGGTGAACAAGTCAAACCTGAGTTGGAAATTCGTGTTGAGATTCTCTTCCTGCCTGAAAGGAGGTCCTTTTCCAGGTGTTTGGGAGGAGCCAGTCGCTACCTGGAGCGGACTCTCTCCTCGCCAAGCCCATCGACAAGCAGCACACAGACACCGTGGTGAACTTCCTAATTCGCGTGGCCTGTCAGGTATGGGCTCCAAGTGTCTTGCATCAGGGCGTCTGCAGACCAGAGGCTACTTACTGACACTCTAGTATGTTATCTGTGACAGTGTTGTCAAAAAAGATACAGACAAACCAAAGTCTGCAAGCTGGTTCTGTCATTTTCATACCAAATGCACTTGATTTTGTGGCAGGTTAACATTTCCAAAATCTACTTGTGTCTTTTTTTTTTTTTTGAGACGGAGTTTCACTTGTTACCCAGGCTGGAGTGCAATGGCGCGATCTCGGCTCACCGCAACCTCCGCCTCCTGGGTCAGGCAATTCTCGTGCCTCAGCCTCCTGAGTAGCTGGGATTACAGGCATGCGCCACCATGCCCAGCTGATTTTTTGTAGTTTTAGTAGAGACGGGGTTTCACCGTGTTGACCAGGATGGTCTCGATCTCTTGACCTCGTGATCCACCCGCCTCGACCTCCCAAAGTGCTGGGATTACAGGCGTGAGCCACCGCGCCCAGCCTACTTGTGTCTTATAATTGATATGATTTTTTAATTTTTTGAGACGGAGTCTCACTTTGTCATCCAAGCTGGAGTGCAGTGGTGTGATGTCAGCCCACTACAACCTCTGCTCAGGGTTCAAGCGATTCCCGTCCTCAGCCTCCTGAGTTACTGGGGTTACAGGTGCCTACCACCATACCTGGCTAGTTTTTGTATTTTTGGTAGAAATGGGGTTTCACCATATTGGCCAGGCTGGTCTTGAATTCCTGACCTCAAGTGATCAGCCTGCCTCAGCTTCCCAAAGTCCTGGGATTGCAGGCATGAGCTACCATGCCTGGCCTGATAACGATTTTTTTAAAAAAGCATTTCACTCTTTGAGTGATAATAAACTAATGATGTGCTTTCTAATTGACGGCATCTTAGCACTGGTGGAATATGGTAGGCAGTGATCTCAGCTGATCATTTAACTTCAAAGTGTTCTTTTTGCACCCTGGAGATGGGAACAGTACACAGCTTAGTAAAGGGTGAGATGATCCAACCTACAGAAAGAATGTACATTTAGCTGTTTAAGTGCTTTTATAACTTGGGTTTATTTATCATTCATATCAATTTTTATCTTTATGGAATTGTTTAGGAATTTATTTCTGAAACTATATTTCAAAAATCTGTTGTAAATGAAATTTTTCTAAATCTTAAGTTTTTATTCGTATTAAACAAAATAGTATATCTTACAGTTCCTTTGAGAATTTCCACGTACTGAAAAGGATCTGCTAAGTACCTAACCAATACATAATTCCTTGCCTCCCTGCAGTGTGCAGGGAGGTCCTGTGGGGAGCCAGCGGGGCCCACAAGGAATTGCAGGTCCCCATGGATGTGCTGCAGATGCAGGGTAGGGGGCCATGAGGGTTCACCAGTCAGGCTGGTCAGGGAAGGTGTCCAGCTCTGTGGAGGTCAGGCGGAAGAGGAGTGGTGGTGAGGGTGAAGGTCTGAGACAGGTGCACTGGCTGGGGCATGGTCGAGAAGCGCTGTCACTGGAATGACTGTAAACTTGGAAGCAGTGAAATGCCGGCTGTAACTCGGATGAATTGCTAGGTTAATGACAACACCAACACTGCGGGGTCCCCTGGGGAGGTGCTTTCTCGCCGATGTGTGAACCTTCTGAAGACCGCGTTGCGGCCAGACATGTGGTCCAAGTCTGAGCTCAAGCTGCAGTGGTTCGACAAGCTGCTGATGACTGTGGTAAGTAGAAGTGTCTGAAGGGCCAGGGCAGGGCCACTGGGGCCATTATTGTTGGGAACCAGCCCCAGCCCCATACGTGGGTGCCCTTAGTGCCAGCGGTGATGAGGGATTGAGAAAAGAAAATAAAGACAGAGACACAAGAGTAGAATTTACAGCATGGGTCCAGGGGACCAACACAAGCATGGGTACCGCGTTGGCCCTGAGCTCTGGGCTCCAAACACTTTATTATGTGCATGATCTCATTGATCTTATGGGTGTGGAAGGGGAGGGTGGAGGAGTGGGTAAGATAGCCTGGTGGAGATCCTTCTAAGACATGCTAAACTAGTACTCTGAGGTTATCACCAGTACTCTGACTGTTATCAGAGTGCTGCTGCATCAGAAGTATAGCAGATGCATCATGGGGCTTTTATCTCCCGAGCATTGAGGACAGAGAGCAATTAAAATCACTCCATATTCTGAGAACCAAGGCAGAGCCTGAGGTGTTCTGTGATCTCTGCCCTGCAAGGCTTTTCTCCTCCTTGCCAGCTCCCATCTGCAAAGACTTTCCTGGACCTTGTGAGCGGAGGTCCCCTCCCTTTTCAGAGATCTTTGCATAAGCCCTCTTTACGAGGCCCTGATGCAGTCTCTATGTTGAGAAGGCATTTGTGGGACCAAAGCAGTATTGCCTGCTCTGCAACCACCCCTCGGTGTTCCCCGGTATTACTGCGCTCTCACGTGGTCTTTACCTTAGGCCTCCTGTTGCCGCTTGATTCCTAATTAACTGCACCAATAATATATTTTAGTTCGGTGTATAAACTTCAGTGTACTCTGAGCCAAACAAGCTTATAATTATTTAGCTAGAATTAATGTAGGTCTCCCCCTGGCCATCTCGACCCACAATTATCAGATGCTATCGCCTGGGCAGGGACTGAACATTTGTGGATCACTCTGGGCCTGACCCCTGAGCCCCAAATCTCCTGTCCTCTTTGTCAGTCATGGCCTCTCCCACATTGCCCTCCACTGCTGATACCAGGGAGGGAGTCTGACTACTCTAGAGACTTGAGGAGTTCGAGACCAGTCTGGACAGCATAGTGAGATCCCAACTCTACAAAAGAGGAGAGAGAAAATTAGCTGGGCATGGTGGTGTGAGCTTGTAGTCCCAGCTACTCAGAAGAGGCTAAAGCAGGAGGATTGGCTGAAGCTGGGAGGTTGAGGCTGCAGTGAGCTATGATTGAGCCACTGTACTACAGCTTGTGAGACTGAGCAAGCAAGACCTGGTCTTTAAAAAAAAAAAAAGAAAAGAAAGGAAAGAATGGCTTTGGAATTTGAGCTCTCATGCTGGCCCCAAGTACACTTTGGAGTGTTTAACCTTAATACAGTTTGCTTGCATTTTGTAGACTCATTTGTAAAAGTTACCTACCAGTTGCCTTGGGCATTTTAGTTGACTGTTGCAACAACCTTTAAGATGAGCTTTGGATTTTTAAAACAGATTTTAATGATGAAACTATAATTTGTTATCAAGTAGTACTTAGGTAACAAGGAGCTGGTCCCTAAATGCTAATTATTTTATTTTGCTTGCTGGTTTTTTGCTTGTAAAAAGCATGATTCTATACTTTTCTGGTGGCAGCAAAAGCTATTCTCTTGCCTTATCCAGATTTTGTTTTTCTAGGTCTTGGCAGAATTTGAAGACTTTTACTATTGAGATTATAAAATCTATTGCAAGCACCTTATTATTTTGGATTGTGAAGACCATATTGCTTCTGTTTTACCTCTGCTGTGAACCATGAACTCTATTTTCTGTTTTATTCAGTTGTTTTGGTTTGTTTTTATTAATTTTTACTTTTATTTCTTTTTTGACAGAGTCTCCCTCTGTCGCACGGGCTGGAGTGCAGTGGTGCAATCTCGGCTCACTGCAACCTTCGCCTCCCAGGTTCAAGTGATTCTCCTGCCCCTGCCTCTCCGTAGCTGGGTTTACAGGCTCATGCCACCACACCTAGCTTGTGTGTGTGTGTGTGTGTGTGTGTGTGTGTGTGTGTGTGTGTATTTTTAGTAGAGACAGGGTTTCACTATGTTGGTCAGGCTGGTCTTGAACTCCTAACCTCATGATTCACCCACCTCAGCGTCACAAAGTGCTGGGATTACAGGAATGAGCCATTGCAGCCGGCCTGTTTTTGCTAATTTTTAATGCTGCCATCATCTGTTGATTTCATGATACACGGTTTGAAAGATGCTTCTTTTTGGAAGAGTGTTTGTTTTGGTTTTGTTTTTGTTTTTTTGAGACAGTCTCACTCTGTTGCCCAGGCTGGAGTGCAGTGGCACAATCTCGGCTCACTGCAACCTCCACCTCCCGAGTTCAAGAAATTCTTGGGCCTCAGTCTCCCGAGTAGCTGAGACTACAGGCATGTGCCAGCATACCTGGCTAATTTTTTTTTTTTTTTTTTTTTTTTTTTGTAATTTTAGTAGAGACAGGGTTTCACCATGTTGACCAGGCTGGTCTCAAGTGATCCATCCACTTCAGCCTCCCAAAGTGCTGGGATTACAGGCATGAGCCACTGTGCCTGGCCCGGAAGGATATTTGTATTTTTGTATCTTAAGAAAATGAGAAGAGAAAAGCAAAATTCATCGCAGGAACTTTTTTAGGGCTTTACTGATTTTAAAATAGTAACATTGGTTAGTATTGAATATTTAATACTTTAACCTTTTTAAAAGAGTTTGAATAGATACTTAGAGTGATTTTATGAAGGCATCATTTTTATGAAATCCGGTGGTCATTCTCTAGTGGTTTTCTTTTGTTTTTTGTTTTAAAACTTAGTCTCCAAATAATGAATCCAGTGCTAGATTTTGCCAGACTCTGGTTTCTAGAATTCCTTGTCATTGAGTATTCATTTCCTCTGTGGCCTGTGTTCTCCATTCCAGGAGCAGCCAAACCAAGTGAACTATGGGAATATCTGCACGGGACTAGAAGTGCTGAGCTTCCTGCTAACTGTCCTTCAGTCGCCAGCCATCCTTAGTAGCTTCAAACCCCTGCAGCGTGGAATTGCCGCCTGCATGACGTGTGGAAACACCAAGGTGCTGCGAGCCGTCCACAGCCTTCTCTCGCGCCTGATGAGTATTTTCCCAACGGAGCCGAGTACGTGGCCTTTTCCACCAGTGCTTTTCTTTGAGAATGGACGGTGGGCGTGGAGCTTGTTATGAGAGTGCTCATCCTCTAGTTACTGTGTTGAGCACTTTGTTATCACGTTCCTTTCTACTCTCAAACTTTCTTTTAAAAATGGACATAAAAGCCGGGCGCGGTGGCTCAAGCCTGTAATCCCAGCACTTTGGGAGGCTGAGGCGGGTGGATCATGAGGTCAAGAGATCGAGACCATCCTGGTCAACATGGTGAAACCCCGTCTCTACTAAAAATACAAAACATTAGCTGGGCATGGTGGCATGTGCCTGTAATCCCAGCTACTCAGGAGGCTGAGGCAGGAGAATTGCCTGAACCCAGGAGGCGGAGGTTGCGGTGAGCCGAGATCGTGCCATTGTACTCCAGCCTGGGTAACAAGAGCAAAACTCCGTCTCAAAAAAAAATGGACATAAAAACAGAATGGCAGCACTCATCGAATTTTGTCTGCTTTGGAAATTCAGTTCATCAGTTGAAGATTATTTCTTTAAGCTACTAAAGGGAAGTTAAAGTATCGTATTAAAGTATTCAATTGTTGAACATTTGGCAGGATAAAATTTTGACATATCATAAGTGTGTTTTGAGCACATTCCGTTAGGTTTTTTGAGTATTCTGCACATAGCCGTGTAGTATGGGAACCAGCCCAGAGGGGAGGCCCACACTGCTCTGCAGGGAGAGAAGTGGCCATGCCAGTTCCTCCTAATATCCGAGCAGCCAGCACTCAGTCCCTGACATCAGCACTGATGGGCCCCAGAGCCCTAACCATGTGTCTGGGTGCCCGCCCTGTAGGTACTTCCAGTGTGGCCTCCAAGTATGAAGAGCTGGAGTGCCTCTACGCAGCCGTCGGAAAGGTCATCTACGAAGGGCTCACCAACTACGAGAAGGCCACCAACGCCAATCCCTCCCAGCTCTTCGGTGAGTGTGCGTTTGTCCTGGTGTTCTGTGGTGGCTCAGTTTGGCATCTGTCCCTGTGCACTGGACGTGCTTCCCTTCGGGAAAGGGCCCTGGTTTTTGGGTGGAACTTAGAGACGCTGGTTGTTCAGGCGTCTGTTGCATTAGGCCCTCAAGGCCACCATCCCCTGTAGACTGCATCCCTCCCTCCTCTCGCCGATCCTAGCCCTGTGCTCCCTCCTCAGCCTCCAGCGCAGGCTTTGGTATGAGGGACGTTGCCAGGGCGCATGTGTCCTGTCACCCCAGTGTTGCCCTCAACGAGCACAACAAGAGCTAAATGCCAACATGTGGTCTCTGCCTTTCACCACAGCCCACCTGTGAGTCAGGCACTCACAAGACGAGAAATCGTTCCGTCTAATCGGTGAGGCTCTGGCTGGCCCAGGTGAGATGAAAACTGCCTCCCTCTTAGGTGATCGGGCAGCTGGGTCACTCTGGCCCCAGGTACCCAGGAGTCAGATTTATACATGTGCCCTCAGCTTTGTGGCAGACACACGTCTTTGATCCTAGATTTTGGCTTAGTGTCTCAAAATTTATTTTCTCCTTTATTGCATATTCATTGGGTGAAACTGTGAAAATACAAATGAAGGAAAACTAAGTACCAGTCACCTGTCAGGCTCTCTTCCTAGTAGTAATCAGGCCCAGTATTTTAGAGTGTTTGTCATTTTCTATATACATGTATGTAATTACCTATATAGATAGCCATTATTAGGCAAATGCTTGTCTGAATTTGCCAACTGAATATATTTGGGGGAGTTCATTGCTCTCCAAACTTGACAGGAGCTAGGAGAATTTGGTTAAAATGGTGTCCATTGCCATCCCAGCTTGCTATCTCTCTTTAGGCAGCAGCCAGGTGCGGAGAGTGAGAAGTGCTTCCGGGACTTTTTTAAAGTGGGGTCACCCTGCATCAGATCCCAGCTTCCATCACAGGGTAGCACAAGTATCTCCTCCCCCTGCTCATTGTCTGAAGGACTCTCGTTAAGAAGGGCTGACCTCATGGGCTCTGCCTCCCTCCTCTGAGGGGTGTCAAAGGCCATAGGCAACCTTAGGGTGAGGTGGGCCTGGGGAGCTGGCCACACCGTTGTCCCTGTGCTGGATCTGGGGCATAGTCACCACTGTCTGCTCCACAGAGGAGAGCACCACACTTGGGAACCACAGAGCATAACCTGTTTACATCACTGTCATCATCAAGTGTCACAGGTTGCCTGGCTTACAACCAGACTGGCCCTATGTTGACTGCTCTGTGAAGAGTTGATCTTTTAACAAAGCTAGCCTGAAATCGCCTCGTAACTGGCATATACTCTTTGGTTGTTCTATTATGTGATCCACAAATACAGGTTTAAAGTTTAATGAGTAGGGCCAGGTGCAGTAGCTCATCCCTGTAGTCTCAGCACTTTGGAAGGCTGAGGCGAGCGGATCACTTGAGGTCAGGAGTTTGAGACCAGCCCAGCCAACATGTTGAAACCCCATCTCTAGTAAAAATACAAAAATTAGCCGGGAATGGTGGCAGGCGCCTGTAATCCCAGCCACTCGGGAGGCTGAGGCAGGAGAATCCCTTGAATGCAGGCAGCAGAGGTTGTGCAGTGAGCTGAGATCATGCAACTGTGCTCCAGTCTGGGTGACGGAGCGAGACTCCATGTCAAAAAAAAGCAACAGCAGTTTAATGTGTAGGTCGAGATCAAGGTAATTTTCACAATGCCAATCATGAAAGAGAATTTTTCCATATATTATATGTTTCTGTTCTAATATTGGCTTTGCTGATTTTTATTGATCTTAGGCCGTTTTTCAGAGTGAGTGCAAATTGAATTCAAAGATATTTGGCATGTCCTCTAGATAGGCTAGATTGTTTAAAAAAGGTTTTTTTCCATGTTTTTCTTATTTTCCCAAACATATTATAGGATTAAAAACTTAGGGTAATTTGCCATAACCTAAAAATAAAATCCAGAACTGAAGGTAAGAATGTTGTTTCTACCGAGGCACAAAAATCAGTTCTCATTCATGATGATTTGATATAATTGAGAATTAGGGGTACAAATACAGTGTTTCAGAATGTGAGAGCTCACAGTGTTGACATTGGGATTAATCAAGACTTTTGTTAGAATACATTGTTTCAAATAGCGCATTGTTTCCACTTTGTTTTTCCTGGTGGTTACTTTTCTGTAAAACACCTGGCAATTTCTACATCTTAGGGACCCTGATGATCCTCAAGTCAGCCTGCAGCAACAACCCCAGCTACATAGACCGGCTGATCTCCGTCTTTATGCGCTCTCTGCAGAAGATGGTCCGGGAACATTTAAACCCTCAGGCAGCATCGGGAAGCACCGAAGCCACCTCAGGTGATGCGCTGGACGCTGGGGATCTTTCCTCAGACTCTGCTGTGCGGGCTGGGACTGAACTCTAAAGGGAATGTGCATTCACCAAGTCGTGTTGTTTTAATTTGTTACCATTTGCTCTTCAATGTAGGGGTTTAAAAAGCAGGACTTATAGTTAAAAATTGACTGTTATTAAGCTGAGTGGGTGTGGTGGCGCGCGGGTGGTCCCAGCTCCCCAGTAGCTGATGCAAGAGGATTGCTTGAGGCCAAGAATTGGTGGCTGCTGGGAGCCATGATCACACCTGTAAATAGTCACTGTGCTTAGTCTGTTGCACAAACTCTCTGTCTGTCTCTCTCTGTCTCTGACACACACCCCTACCTGCTTTTAAAGTCTACAGATGTAAGAATGCAGAGAATTTAAAGTAGTTGGACTTTTATATGCGTCATTCACCACTGAGAGTTACCAGTGCTTGCTATGAAACAGATTGCTCAGTCAGAGTTGCTGTTTCTGAAGAGTTAAGTCACAGGTTTCAGAGCTGAGCAGTGGGCTACAGGAATCTGGATGCTTTGTAGGAGTATGGTGCTGCTTGGCAGGGGCTGTGGTGGGCACGGCCTCTGGGTACACCTCAGAGTACAGGGGCCATGACTGGGACTTAATAGCTGGGTGTGGAGAGGCCAGGGCCACCTGCACCAGTCTGTCATCTCCCTCACCCCTCTCCCCACTGGGAGGGCTACACTCCCAAGATGCATGGAAGAATGTACGTGTGCCTCAAATCCCAGAGCTCTAGTTGCAGAAGAAATCATTGAGGGGGAAAAGGAGTAGAACCCAGCACGCCCAGCAAGGCTGAGTGGCTGCCTGATTAAATCAATGTGTAGAGACCCATGGGTTTTTTCCTTCTTGGTGCAAGCAGGTACAAGCGAGCTGGTGATGCTAAGTCTGGAACTGGTGAAGACGCGCCTGGCAGTGATGAGCATGGAGATGCGGAAGAACTTCATCCAGGCCATTCTGACATCCCTCATTGAGAAATCACCAGATGCCAAAATCCTGCGGGCCGTGGTCAAAATCGTGGAAGAATGGGTCAAGAATAACTCCCCAATGGCAGCCAATCAGGTGAGGTGGGACGGTATGTCACGTGACCTCCTTTTGAATAAAAGAAAATTCAAGCCTCACCGTCTTGATCTTTCTGAAACTTGAAGCAAAACATTTTTTTCTGCTGTAATTGCACTCACAACATCTTTTCTTGATCAAGGTGTATTTTTTTCAGTGCGCTTAACAGATGTTAAATAGAAACTCAGTTGCCCATCTTAATATGGCTTTACTCCTGTTAAAATGTTAAATGAAGTCCAAGTCCTGTAATCCCAGCACTTTGAGAGGCCGAGGCAGGCGTATCCCTTGAGATCAGGAGTTTGAGACTAGCCTGGCCAGCATGGTGAAACTCTCTATGCTACAAATACAAAATTTAGCCAGGTGTGGTGGCACACACCTGTAATCTCAGCTACTCGGGAAGCTGAGGCAGGAGAATCACTTGAATTCAGAAGGTGGAGGTTGCAGTG